TTGTTTTTGGAAAATTGTTATTATTTCTAAATCTTTTACACCACAATACTGTGAAATAATGATGTTATATTGTGATTGCTACCAGAAATTCATTAATTTTTAAGGAGAAAGTTTTGTTTAGACCGGTGCAGAAAAATTATTAGTTTACTTTTTTAAAAAAAATGGTTATAAAGGCAGAATGCCACTATGTGGAAACACCACGCTAGCGTAATTGTAGGATGCTTTCACGAACCTATAAAGGTAAAGGGGCTGTCGTGCGGATACCACTTTAGACAAGTCCCAGGGATGGTATTGATGCTTTCACAGTAGAAGCTTACGTTATCCGACGTTATCCGACAGTGGAAGCAAACTCCCGATTCGAAGTTTATAAACTTCGAATAGGGAGTTTGCTTCCACTGTAATGGTTCTGATGACAGAGAAGAACAAATTTGTATTCTTTAGTAAAGAAGAAGGTAATTATATCTACGAGTATCGCTAATTCTGCGCGCGGTGCCATTTTGAAGCAGTACAGTCGACTTCATAAAGATGTCACACCCACAGCCAATAGCGTTTCGGCGGTTACGCATATGAGTGGATATTTTGTTACACCATTTTGAAGTCTAGTGTATTTTGGGACAAGAGTTCGCCAATATGACGACCTTTGAAGTTCAGCTTCGACACCTACCGGCAAACAGGAATGATTCCATTACTTGGACTTCTAGTATCGTATTGAAACGACTCTATTAAAGCATCTTAAATGGAATTGCTTACACAGCGCTTCAAGGAATCAAACGATTGTTCATGCTAAGACAGGATGCGAATTATAACAATATCACTATACGTTTATTGCAATTAATCAGCTATGGTATGCGATTACCGTATCGCGCATTTAACGATAATTATCATCTGTAAAAGGTACAGAGTCAGTACATACCATTTATGTAAAAGCCGAGCAAAATTGGATCAATTACGACGAATAGGACGAAGCTTATACTTTCCTAAAAAACAATAAGAAAATACGACAATTAAATCTTTTAAGGCAAATTTAATTACAACGTGGCATCGCTGCAAACCAATCTTACAGCCATATGGCGATTGGCGAATATAACAGTATATTCGTATTTTCATCCATTATCAGCGTAAGTTTGCGGCCTTTCCCGTATCGTACCTTGAATGCAAGGATATGGCGAGTGAAAAGGAGAATTAAACCGGAATGGACAAGTCTTCAGCGAAAACTCCGCTACAAAATTATGGATTGTGGTAAGGACTAGCTCGTCAACTGTAACAGTGTAATACAGTAACTCAGTTTCATTCCTTTAAAGGCGGAAAAATTTTCTTTGCAGCGTTGTTGTTTTGAATGCTTTTGTGCAAATGTACGTACATTCAAAACTATACAATCGCCGTGGCGCAGTGTCGTACTCAGACGTTTTGTAAAATTGCTGAAACGGTGTATTAGTCACCACCCAGTAACATGTGGCATGAAATGCCATCCAGCGTATGGTAAGGGTACCGAAATGTCCATTGTCGTGCGCAACTGTGGATGACTGCCTTGTACACGATGACCAATGTGACGCGATCCTGCTTAAAAAGTCGATGCGGCTTAGATAACGGACCGTCCATGAGTGCTGATCTGTGTTCTATACGTACTCGAGCTGAACACAAGATTTCCTGTTGAATTCTGTTAAAACCATGAGCAATCATGGAACAACGTCGCATAATCTTTTATTGATAGCACTTGTTGGGTGAAGTGCACATAACTAATCGTTAAATCTTTCCGCACCTCGACAGAGCGGAAGCGAAAGAATGAACACTCTAAACGCACGATGGCACATTTACGGTGCACCGAAATATAACGTTATGAAGTGATATGTGCAACTGTAACAACACAATCCAAACTGCAGTCCAAACTCGGCAATAAATTCCTGCACTGATAAATTCTGTGACAAACACTGTGATAAAAAATGTCATCCATTAATTTGGCATGCTGGTCTGCTGGTGGTTATTTATCGGTACTCAGCGGTGTGTTTATTTTATAACATCTGAGCTTAAGCATGTTGTGCTGTGGATCGGTCCTCCTACGGCTGACATAGATGGGAACGAACCGAACGGTCATACAGGAAATCATTGCAATGCAATGGCATGCAGAAAGGGGAGTGCCTTTATTTCTCGGAGGGTTGTATTAACGGAGCCACTGCTCCAGTCTGATGGACCAGCGTATTACATACGCTTTCGACAATCTTACTGATGCTTGAAGAAAGATAGCATTTTTTTTCGATTTTAAAATGAATTTCAAAATTTTTAAAATGCATTTTAAAATTATGGGAAAGTGCTATGAACCTGAAATTGGTTCACTTTCGACTCTATGGCCATGTGAGCGTTGTAAGGGTAAGCCCCCAGATTGCTTCGGGCACAGCAACAGTAAAATCCGACCACAAACATCCGCGCATCCTCCATCCATCTCCAGAGCTTGGGAGATCCACGTCCGTTCCACGATATCCCAATGACAAAAGCAACAGAGTGATTAATTGCAGGGAATACAAACGAATTATTCTCAACACATATAACTAGGAGTCTAGCACTTCATGCAGCGGCGTTCTATTCGGAATCATGCCGATGGTTTTGGGCGTTCAAGCGAAGTAGTACTCGTTTGACATTGTATCTTAGAGTAGCATAAAAAAGCGCTGGCCATTACGCAAATTATTTTTCCTCTATTACTGCATAGCAATACAAAATAAGTTTATCGCTCATGCAAGCGGTGTATGTGTGACCCATGATGTACGCAGGCCATCCGGTAACAACTCGATCCATTGAACTTTCGCTCGGCCATACACCTTCACATTGTAACAAGTTTCAGCTATCAAGTTAGAGTAGAAGTACAGATATCCATGTTACGGGATCGTGCTGCTATTCGAATCACGATGCGTGTGACTGCGGCATAAATTTGTGAAAATTCACTCCGATCTCGTTGGCGAATAAATTCTCGTATTATTATACGAGCATTATTAGCATCTCGTATCTCATTTTCGTATTATTAGCATCTGTAAGGTGACCACTATTTTCCACTGTGCGCTGCGGTCGTGGATAAATCCATTTACCCGGTGGTGCAGCGCCATCTTCTACAGTGAGAACGCGCTACCGCTCTAACTCTGCAGACTCGCGTGTGTTCATGTAAACGTCGTTTAAGGAATTTCCGTCCAGTGTTAATTGGGACACAATGGAAAGAAACACCTTTTACGATGTTACATGTACAGGGGATATAAATCGGCGGCTCATCCCAGTAAATAATTCGAATTTTTAATCAATAGGAATAATGCTGTTGCTTGAAAAGTTGATATCAATGCGCCTGCCTAAAACCAAATCAAAATTACTGTATGTAACCGCTGAAATAGAGCAGTGCACAATTTACTGGTGTGATGCTACACAATTAAGTCGATGAGGTCTGATCGCAGACCGACCGGTCAGCTTAGAATAACATGCATAACTGCATACGGTACTTAGTCAGTCTGCTTAGAATCTAGTAACTGCATACGGTACTAGAATAACACGGTACAGCATTGGGCTGCCACTAGTAATACATGCATGTATGCCTGCGTGTGTTCCTTGTATCTGTACAGTCTTTGGCTTTTGTTTCCGGGCGGGCTGTACAACGGCGCATCGTTAGGGAGTAGTACTCATACGTGCTGCAGTACAATCCAAATTGCAGTCCCAACTCTTCAGTAAATTCCTGCATAAATAATTCGGTGACAAAGCACTTTGACGGTATGACCAACAGGCCGTGCTGCGCTGGTCCGCTAATCGTTATTTGTTGTCTAACTCAGTAACCACTAACCAGCGCTGTGTTTTTTCAGTATCAGCTCTTGTTCATGTTGTGCTGCGCGCTGGTTTTCCCACGCCGAACACAGCTGGGAACGAACCAAGCAGTCATGCACGCAACCGGCGAAATGCACTGGAAATTAAAGGAACAGCCAGCCATGAATCGATCAGCCATTACCGCACCGACTAGTGACCCGAGGCCACTGTTTTTATGTACTTGCTGGATGACGTCCTTATTTCGACTGCTACGCAAATTTGATGGACGAGTATTTCCCAAATTCGCAAACGTTTCATACAACGTTTCGGGTGTTAAGGAAAACAACTTATGCCTCGATCTCGTATTATTATTTTCCGTAAAGTGATAGCAACACGACACACAATACTGGACATAGCTTAAGTTACTATTGTTACTGCTCCATAAGGTGGTAAACACGTAATAATAAATGTAAATTTTAACAAACTTACGTATTGTAATGGTGCATTTTTGCTTTGACCACTTTTTACTATCCGTGCGTCTATATTTTGGTACAAGTCATACCAAATGTAGAACTTCATAAGTTATGGCATACAGTCTGTACAACTGAACATGGGGTCATTATTTTGAGATTGGCTTTAATTCCGTGCAGACTAAATAATTAATTTTACAATTATAAGAAATAATTGCAACACATTACACTAAGTAATTTCTGTTCCACAGACATGCCAAGCAAGGCGCTGACCACTGGCCACTGGGCAGATTTTATTGGCAAAATACGCATGAGGTGTTCGTGCCAAAATTGGTAGGGAGGCAAAATACGCATGAGGTGTTCGTGCCAAAATTGATAGGGACTTTCACATAACTCTTCTTAACGCCTAAATTTCTTTGCATTCGCAATTGAACAGTTTTGTTTGAAGGTAAAGAGGTAAAGTGACGCCTTTATAGCGTACTGGTATAGGTTTTTGCGAGGTTTGCGGCGTACTGCACATGTACAGTAATATTCCAACTTTTTTTTCCAAGTTAATGTCTATACGGTGCCATAAACATGTAGAGTACGAGTAGAGACCTTGCATCAAGTACCTACTGCAAGATTCGGGTTTAGTACAGAGCAGAACGATGCGGCAAATGTGTACTCGTACAAGCAGTTCAAAATAAAACGACCATTCCGGTATTTAATTAACTATCTTAAAGTCTACCCATACTTAACAAACGATAAATCTGCACTCAGTACTTATGTAACTGCGCGCGTAACATTGCAGCTCAATTTATGCAAAACGACGTAATTTAAGTCAGCGTCACGAATATCCAATAAATCCACTGACGCGGTACGCCTGTGAATGTAAAAGGCGGCACCTGCGACAATGCCAATGAGGGCTAGACAACCAACGCTCAACCCGACAGCCAGACCTAAAGAAAATTATTTTTTTGTTCACACAGGTAAGACGTATTTACTGTTGATCGATACTTGCTACTTGCTAGTACAAGTCCGACTAATCTCATGCGCAGTGGCTCAGTTTAGACAAAAACGTTTTGGCGACATAAATGCATGTTCTGCGCGACCGTTTTTATTTTGAAACCACAACAATGACGAAAGCTAATTGCAAATATTCATGCACTGAAGAATTACAAATAATAATTCAATTAATAAGCAATCATTAATTACCATATAAAGCAAGAAAGTAATCAAACAAATGAGAAACAGTGAGCAGCTAGTGCGATCGAAGACGCGTTTACACAAAACGATACAGCACTAATTAACAGGAATATACAGATAAACACAATCAGAGAAACACGCACTGATTTGATGCGATAAGCTAACAACAAAAATCAATGCACGTAGACAGCCATCAACGTAAAAAATCCGCTAAAAGCGAGAATATCGGCTACCTTACCGATATCCACTTCGGCATGGTCCGAGGGTCTGGCGGCCGCACTGGTAGCCATTGCAACATTGGGATGGTCGGTGTTTGTGCCACTAGATGCTTTGAAGTCCATTGTCAGTGGTTTATTGTACCCATGCTGGTTAATGCTGTTGTTACGAGTGCGGTTTTCGATGGCAATCGTGTCGGTGTCATTTACAGCGTCTACAATTAACATTGGCAATTGCAAAAACATGTCACATGCTACAGTGCCTAAAGGTACGAGTAATAACCATACAGTAATTAATTACTTACTTAAACACTTGGCCGGCCACGTCTTGCAGGTGCAGTTAGCAGCGACATCGAAAGTCTCTTGGTGAAACGTGTAATTAAGAGATTCTAAGGATGTGTTAGCAACACACGTGACCGGGAGGAGCTCCATAGCAGTTTTAGTGGAACACGTAAGGTTATATCCAGATTGGACACAACCGTGTTTACCGGCCTGCAGTTCTATTGAACGATAACCAGAAACATGAAACATACTATGACGTACAACGTAGCATATTATGGTGAATTTGCATACAAAGCTGCGTGCGTAAACTTTTAATAATGGCTCTACATACGTACTAGTAGTATTAATTTTAAAGCTAACGCTGGACTCTTTTACTGACCTGAAAACGGACGGTCTCGTATGAACCACGTAGTACACGCTCCAGGGATGGTGGTAAAAATTGGGCAGTGGAAACTGATTGTTCTTGGTGTTAACTTTGTGTAGGGTTCCTCTTGCCAGTATAGTGGTTCTGATAACAAAAAACAAATATAGAGATTGTGGTTGATTTTTGTAAGTGCAGGTTTGTTTGTTTTGTATTTTTTATTTCTATATGATTTGACACTGGACGTCTGCAATCAGGCTGACCTTTTAAATTTATCGTTACTGCTTACCGATGACATAAAAATCGAATGATGTCCTCTTCAGTCGCTCATTATAATCAAAGTACTGGCACTGCAGATTAGCCGTTGTTTCGGTAGCAAACAACTGCACTTTAAGGTAGCATGAATTGCTTATATTGGACACTGGCAGTGCAGAGAAGTTTTGCTTTTCCGTTTCATTGTGCTGGTACCATTGGCAGGACGGTTCAGCAAACGTCATTCGGTGTCCCACATTGTTGACGCTTCCCTTACATGCTAACTGCAGCTGAAGGCTGACATTCGGTTTCACGTAAATCGAGTATCCTTGGTCTTCAGTGAGCGGCAACTTATAAGCTATCCAGTTACTGCCAGATGTATATGGCGTCATGCTGCATGGCCGCAGAGAACCTACTGAGTAATATGGCACAAAAATAAGGGTAAGAAACCACATCATGCAGATACGAAAACTGATTCTACACGAATTCGTGATGAATCGAAAAATAATAAAATGATTATTATACAGTTAATAGTAATACTATATGTTCGCCCGACTTCGTGCCTAACCGGCGAACCTACCGGCTCTTGACCTTAAGTGCCCATAACAGTACTAGTAGTACAGAGTTCTTGGAGTGGCCGCACAAACAGCTCATGAGTCATGAGTGCAAAAAAATTCTGTATTTATTTTTTTAAAACTAACTTGTACAAATTTAAAACGTAGAAAGAATAAAAAAAGTTTCTTACGATCAGCTAATTCAGAAACCAAAATAGTCGTTTTCGTTCTCTCCTTGCAATACACCACACCGTGGACAGACGACAAGAAACTGATTTGTAGGCGTAGAAACCGAGTCGGGATAATTTTATACAAATATTTGTTTGTTGATTATACTCGTTTTAAGCAACGTTCAGATTTTTGAATGCAAAATTTTGTAAAACAACACCTTGGAATTTATTTAAAAATTAAAAGTATCACATGGTGGGATGCGGAGTCAAAGGTGGTGAAAAGATGATTCTAGGAGCCAACGGTGGTACAAAGGTAGTGTGCGGAGCATTCACCAAAACTTAATAGAGAAGTGCTGACATTAAACCATGATTTTGTATTTATGGACTGGTCTACCGCAGAAACCACTCAAATATTACACAGCTAAAATTTTTTAAAAAAAGTACTTGTGTAATTAAAAATTCATAATCGTAAACCCAGAATTATAAATCGCTAGCTCAGAAGCACTGCAACCGTTTTCGTGATCCCTTACTATTTACTATATTCAAAAAATTTAGGTTATGTCATGCTAAATGTCACTTATTACTAAATACTAGATTAATCATCAATTTACATATTATACAATGGCACCAAGCTCTTGAATCATCTGATGCAGTGGTGCATGATGGCGGCAATATACGTATTATACGCAAAATTCTTTGCACAAGAACGAGATACATGCAAATTTTATACATTTAATTACTTGGTCATAAAAAGGTTAAATAATAAATATCCTGTGTTTTCTCTTGATCTAATGACCTTAAGCATCCGATTTGCAATTAAAGGATGGAAGAGGTCTTGTGACAGGCAAGCACAGAGAGCTCACAGGTGACTTTATTGTACAAATAAAGTGGAGCAAATGCCGCGTGAATGCGGGGAAAAACACAACAAAGGCCAGTGTCTGGCAGAAATCAGCAAGTCAAGTTGCTGCGAGCTAGTTCTAGAGCGTAATGAAATGTAGAGAAAGAAATGTGCTGGCGGCAACGGCGTCACGCTGTCCAGACACATGGAATGTGAGTGCGCAGACTGGACTCGTATCCAACGCGAGCGTATATGCGCTGAGTCATACAGCGAGAGAGAGGAGCGAGAGAGCAAGTATGCTCAGTGAGTGCGCCCGCGGTGTGATCCGCTAGGCGGAGAGTGCAGTGCAGCCACTCACGTACGTACAAGAGAGGGCGAATCAGCATGTGTGCAGTGATACGCATACGCAAAGTGGCGTATCTATCACGCAGGCTGTCGTGCCTCTAACATGCCTCTGGGCGGGAATCCGAGCTCCTGCGAGGATGCTCAGACTCAGTACCGCGCCAGCGTCGCACCTCTCCGGTCGACCCATTTGGGGTCGCCGGTACGCGTCCTCTTCCGATGGGAGTCCGGTGTCTGTTGACCGTCCCATCCTTCACCTCCAGATCCATGAGAGGCAAGCAACTCACGGCCGCAAATCTGGAAGCCGCTCGGGGTTCGTTGTTGGACCGGTATTGCTTCTGTTGGCCTGGCATCTTGCTTCTGTTGGCTCGCGGAGAAAGTAAAAGAGAAATGTAATGACGGTTAACAGCGCGAAATAAAAATGTAATAAAGTTTAATCACAATTCCAGTGAGCAAAAAGTAAATGCAAAACAGATCTGGTTAGAGATTCTAAGTAAAATACAATTCCGTTTGTTAGAAAATGTACAAAATACTAAAAAAAGATCTGTCCGGGGGGCTTATTCCGACTAGGATGACGTCCACGGGTCTTGAGTTTCCACGGGGTCTCCTGTCTAAATGCAGTCCGGTGTGTCAGGTCCGGGGCGTCGGTTCCCGGGTTACCCAACGTAACCGGTAAGTTCTTCCGAGGTCGGGTAAGCACGGCTGACACTTACGTCCGACTCGTATTCATCCGTTCCGGAGGGAGAGGCACTGTCGCTGTTGCGAATGCCGAAGCATCCTCTCTAATTAGGGGGAATAGACCAAGGTCATCGGACCAAGGTCGGCCTACCGGCAAGTTAACCGGCGGCAAGGGAATTCGGCTAAGTCCCGAATTCCAGAAGTCAAGTCGGACAAAACCGTACTTGTGTCGTGCAACTTCCGTGGTCGCCAAGTGGTAATGCCGATGGAATGTGGTCGGTTTAAAACCGTTAAATCTGCTACCACGAGCCTGGGTATGGCTTCCGATACGAACTGGCTCGAAGGTCCGGTCGGAATTTCTTGTTCCTCCATCCAACGGTGGTTTATCCGACCTTCTGTCGGTTGAGGATGGATATCCGACCTGAGGTCGGTTGTAATGTTATCCGACCTGAGGTCGGTGATAACGCACCTCCATGGTCGACCTCGGTAACTCGTGTTATTTAGGCCCATGTGGGGCCAAACAAGTCCCGTTAGGTCGAATTCGTCCATTCCGAGGTCGTTTCCAGTTCCAATCTTCAGTTTAGTCGTCCTTCACCGACCTGTTATCGGTGACTCCTGATGTCCGACCTGAGGTCAGGTATGATGTTATCCAACCCGTGGTCGGTGGTAATGTTATACGACCCGAGGTCGGTTACCACGTGACTAGTCCGTTCGAAGGTCGTATCCCGGCTAATCCGCTGATGTTCCGGGCGGAACCGAGCGATCCGGCGTTCCTAACCGACTTCTGTGGTCGGTTGGACCGGTTCTCCGACCTGAGGTCGGTGATAATGTTATCCGACTGGAGGTCGGTTACTCCAAGTCCCAGGTCGATTAAGGTCGATTCCTTCTGTCCGGAAATCGTTTTCCGTGAACATCCTGGATGGCGTCTCCATCCACCGACCTGTTGTCGGTTACTTCTCATGTCCGACCCGAGGTCGGTTAGAACGTTATCCGACCTGAGGTCGGTGATTCCGTAATTCCGTGTTCAACCGAAATGAGTTACGGTATGCAGGCTCAAAGTGGAGCCATACAAGTCCGTTTCGGTGGAATCATCCTCATAACCGACCTGTTGTCGGTTATTCCACTTCATCCGACCTGAGGTTGGACGTAATGTTATCCAACCCGAAGTCGGTGATTCTTCATCCAGGTCGGTTTCGTCCGTCAGGAGGTCGGTTTTGAACCTCTGGGCACTCATCTGATCTCTGCGAGGTTTGTTTGAAGCGATGGTCTCTTTCATGCCTCTAACATGCCCTGGTTCGGGTCGATAGTTTTGCCTCTGGACGGGTCCGAGTTCCGTCAAATGCGGCAGTTCCATGGCGTCTGTTGGCCATTCAGCATGTAATCCAGGTCACTTGTGGTATCAAGGGACTTCTGTGGTCCCACTCCACAAGACAGACTCTTTGGTTTCAAACTGGCGTACGATTCTCGCGCCTTGGCAGTGTTGTGCCTCGGGCCCCGACTTATGTCAGACTGCCCGTTCCCATCCCCATGCAACATGCACTTCTGAGGTAAAATCAGATCACTTCACTTCCCTGGTTTGGAGTTTCTTCGTTCGGTTCCGCGAACCTGTGACGCCTTGCCACTTCTGTTGGGAAAGACGTCATACGTCCGTAGGGATCTGTATGGGGGTGCAAGCCGTGTGTTCTAACACGGTTTGCCTAGGATGTTCCATTAAGGCATGGGGAAGCAGGTCGCGGCGGAGTCGTTGGTACGTCAGTAGCCAAATCACCGTCGCTGTTCCTCTTCAGGTAATGGCAGCACGGTCAAGCCGCGCGTAGTCGTGGTCACCGGTGAATCGGTTGGTTTATCCGATATCCGCCGGGGGAGACTGCGGTTGGACTCCAGGTACAGGTTCCTGGTTGAGAGCCTGTAGATCCGGGTTCAAACGGAGAATCCGTCCAGACTAAAACCGTAGTCAGGTGTCGCGGTTTGCGGTCACCTTTACCGACTTCTGTGGTCAGTGAAGACTGCGATAAAGCCATCCCGTTTATAGTTTCCGTGTGCTTCCGTCGGGTCGACGTCGGTTGGTCAATGTTTCGAAGGTCGGCTACCGTTGGCAAATCGACTCCTGTGGTCGGTCCGAGTGATTCCATCGGCCGTCCGTTTTCGGAGTTAACCGTGGGTGTCTTGGCAAGCATGGTCCTGAACACACCGCAGTGCTGTGTTCCGGGCCATGCTAGCGGAATCCTCGCTGGTTTCTACTCCGGAGTCCGGTTGCCGGAGTGTCTTGATTCCGATCATCTACCTCCGGGATGGTTGACTTCCGTGGTCAACTGAGGTAGTAGATCGTGATTAACCAACACGGTCTGTATTGGATATATCCTTCTGTATGGCTTATCCTTCGGATGTAAAGTTGAAACTTCACCGACTTCTGTGGTCGGCTAAGTTATCCGAATCGTGATTAAGGAAGGTCCAAGTTCTACCTTAAAATTGGCTAACTTCCGTGGTCAACGAAGGTAGTGGATCGTGGTTCTGTGACACGGTCTGCGTCACTTCCTTTAATTACCTCGGGAATGGTCAACTTCTGTGGTTGACTGAGGTAACGGGGCACGGTTGAGGTCGCGGTTTGCGAAGTTATGTCTCTGGGCGGGAGTCCGGTTCTTCGTTCCTGCCTTCGGTTAATCCAATGCGTCATGTCATAACAGGTCGGTTTTGACTTCTGTGGTCAATTCCGAACCATGTGACGTTGCGGGCCGATGAGGATACCACTGTCTGCGGTGATGAAAGTTACTGGTCGGTTACCCGGTCCCAAGGTCGGCCACGGGTGCCAG